AAGATATTTATCCAACAAGAATATAATTGTCAGTCCTTTATATAACCAATATACTAGAGAATTTGAGAAGTATGCAATGCGATACAGACCGTTTTTACAATCACTATTCCATTAAGAAGTTCAAGTGAAACTGTATAACTTTGTTTAGTACCACAGGTACCTTCAGCAAGTATAGTCACAGCCCTTCAAGGAAACATATGTCACATTTATGCTTGTCACATCAAAAAGTCTTAAAGAAAAGTGATTACAAGTTTATTTGTATGCTTAAATATGTTTCTGTTACTTGATATGAATAGGAATAAAATAATTTTTCTTTTCTTTATTTTTTTATTAATATTATTTTGTTTGATTACATTGCATTATGTGACACTGTCTCATAGGTTCTGGGATGTTGCAGTATTACAGTTAAAATTCAGCCAAGATTTTTTCATTGCAAGCATAGAGTTCAGCATCTTATTGTCCAGATAAATTCAACAGTTTCTTGGGGAGACCATCTCTGGTCTGAAGGCAGAGCTGGAAAAATATCATCCTGATCAATTAAAAGTACAACATAACATCAACATCAATTTACAACATTATGGAATTAATTGACATGGTGTTGAGTAACAAATATGCTAAAAAAAATGCAAGTTCTTAACCACATCCTGTGACTACTTCATTGACATTTCAAATTTAATTTATACACAGAACCAGCCGTTATACACCTTAAAATGATTATAGGGTACTACTCAGCTGTCTTGTGTCTATTTTCATTTTAGCATTCAGCAGTTTATAGTGTTGAAGCTTAATTTTGCTGAACTTGGCAGATTTGGGGATAGTTTAAACTGGCCTATAACTCTAACAAGGCATATGTCAACATTTTCTAAAATGCATCGAGCTTCATAGCTAAAATGTCTACATTCAGAGTGACTGTGCAACTTAAGAATTTGAGTGGAAAATGCATTACATTTTTGCAAATAAAGCACAAATTAGCATTAGCAACCATAAAAGAATATTCTCTGTTAAATATTTTTTTATTTTCCAATAAAAATTGCAATTTTTATAACTGTAAAGTCAGTTAAATGGAAATACTATAAATTTAAATGGAAATATTATAATTTTACCCTAGAAATTTCACTGAATAGAAAAAATATCTCAAAATGTGTGACCAGAGATTTTTCTAAAGCCTTTTTTCATATTTTTTAAGCATCAATGTTGAACTAATCTTGTGTGCAGACAGTACAAGCACAATTTTACTCACATGAATACAGATTTTAACATACTTGATGGGATCATTGAATTCTCTCCTCTCATACATAGATAAATAAATTCAAGCAATTTCGTTATTGCCATTGAGATGCAATAGGAAAATTGAGAATACTCTTAAAAAGTAAGCTACACAAAGATGATGGGCATAATGCATTACAGTAAAAGTAATTCAGTTTTTATTTGAAAATAAAACCAAGGGAATTGCAAATAACATTCAATAAATTGAACTGGGATTGTAAAATGTAACGTCTCGTTAACATTCACTGAAAAATTCAATCAAGATTGGCAAGATATGAAGAGTTCAAGGTAAGCCCTTCTATGTAATTCCAACTAGTGTTTTGGTTAATGCTATCCGATGACTTACAGTCATTAGAATGACATCAGTCATAAGCATGCCTTAATTTATCCGTAAAAGCACTGGATGTCACTACCAAGGAAAATGTAATCCGGGAGCCAAATGTTTTTATCACTTTTTGGTAGGTTTTGAGCTTCATTCTACTGTTGTCTCTCTGTCCATCACTACTGACACAGGATTGCTGCAGTTCTACAAGAGGCAGACACCTTGTGCACGCACTGACTTTGCACTTAGCATATTGTCCGATTTCTGCGGTATTAGCAGGGGAGTTCCAAAGAGTAACCTGAAGTATGTTTTATCGTTGGCGTAGTCTATGCTCCCACATTTTTCGGTAAAGACCATGGCTTTTGGAACATGGTGTGCTAACAGGCTCGGAAGCTGACAACTGAGTGCTTCAGTGAGCCTGACATCAGCACACAAGCGTGATTGCTTCTGAAATAAATACCTCAACATGTCATTCATTTTTAAGGCCTGCTTTTTCTTGTACGTCACTGAAGGTTAAAATAGCATCTGTTAAAGGCAGATTGCATTCCTTCATGGGAGAAACGGGGCAAAAAATGATAAATATCTCTCCATAGTATTTGCTACAAGTGAAATCAATTCAGATTACCTCCAAATTATATATACAGTCCACAATATCAACTTCTAAATAATACCATCAAATTCTAAAATTTATATATATTTATGTGTGTGATATATGTTATGCATCTATAATGTATATTTCTGCCAAAATGGTGAAAGCAATTATTACTTCTTTTTTGTTTGTTTGTTTGTTTAGAAATATCAAAATGACCAAATGGTACTTTTAGACATATAATATAAAAATTGTAGTATTTTTTAGTCTGGTCCTCAATAAGTTAATTTTATCGTTCTTTAGATTATCTCAAATATTTCTATATTGCAATAATATCTGACATCACAGTGGACTTCTGTTTCATGAAATAAGAGTTTATATGTTTTGACATATCATCTCTAATAATATTTTTAATGTATTTGTTTTTAATTGGAAAGGCAGACATACACAGAAAGGAGACACAGAAAGAAAGATCTGCCATCAACTAGTTCACTCCCTAAGTGGCCACAATGGCCAGAACTGAGCCGATCTGAAGCCAGGTGCCAGGAGCTTCCTCCAGGTCTCCCACGCAGGTGCAGGGTCCCAAGGTTTTGGGGAATCCTAGACTGCTTTCCCAGGCCAAATGCAGGAAACTGCATGGGACCTGGAAGATCTGGAACATGAACTGGCACCCATATCTGAATCCCAGCTCTAGCAAGGTGAGGATTAGGTAATTGAGCCATTGTACCTGTCCTTATAGTATTTTTAATTCAAATTTATGCTACACATTTGTCCCGTCCAGCAGGACAGTCAACGGGGGTCGCAACCACCTAGGAGAGATTGGGGGACAAGAGACACGAAGAATGGACAGCAAGACAGGATGTCTGATCAAGCTGTCAATTTATTGATTTCAACTGAGGGTTTTTATATTCTTCAGTAACTAAGGCTCAGGGAGGAAAGGAGAAACTAGGACGCAAGCCATGGTCTCCAGACCGATTGTTCTTGAGCAGCCACCATATCAACCATAGTAACCAGCATATCAACAATAGCATAGGTAATCAGTAACAAGATGTCGGCAGGTACAGCATAAATCACATTCTAAAACAGTTGCTACAAACAATTGAAGCTAAGCGTGTGATTAGTTTCATAACTTCTTTCTCAAGCATCTAGCCAGCCAGGGATTTTCCACTGGCCCATAGTTCTATATTCAAAATGGCTTCAGTGTGGCTATAGTACACGGCTCCTGACATCTCCCCCTCTTTTCTATATATCAATGAAAGCGGCGAAAAGAAAAAGGTTCCTTGAGGCAAGATAAGCACTGCCTGTCTTAGGTTCATTCTGAGGGACCCTCAACTCTTACCCGTCTTTGGGCAGCCCTGCCAGTCATCCAGGGCTCCCTGTCTTAGGTTGGCGGGGTATCAGAAAGATGCCCGTCATTGTCTAAATGCTTACCCAGGAAAAGCCATGCCTCATTATATTAGATGAGCCTCTTTGAAAACTGGAGCCGCATGGCACGATGTGGGGGGTTATCACTTGGGGAGCCTGAGCCATTGCAGCAATGTCAAGGTTTTTAAGGCCATAACCTTGCTGCATTTCTTGAACATGCAAGCTGCCAGCTTAATGCCATTTAGAATAACTTTCCCTGACATGGGTAGAACTGGGGTCTCATTTACTTTAATTATACTGGTGGCTAATTGACTGGTGAGATTTAGGAAGGCGTTAGACCATTGTCCCCAGAGGTATTGATTGGTTTTTATCACTCTCGCCAAAATATTGTGAACTCATACTGGGGTGATACATATATGATGGTATATTGGGGAACAGCTGGCTGGTGAGATTCAAGAAGACATACTTAACAATGTACAAGTATTGTTGAAAATACTAACATTCCAGAATCACATAGTGCTAAGATGTTACATGTATACAAAACAGTTTTATCAGGAACCAGAGACTCTAACTGCCTATCATCCCATCTGACTCCTACATTTTCAAACAGAAATGAACCCCAACTGTTTTTAGGGAGAAAGGGCGTTGTCATCTGCTCTTAGCTACTTCCTGCTGAGAAGGGGGCGCCGTTGGGTAACAGCAGCTGTTGGGGGTCCATCTTGTGGTTCCTGATAGAAGGCAGAAGTCATCAGGTGTTTGGTGTACATCCTGGCACTTGAAAAGTTTCTCTGTGTTGAAATCTAAATAGTAAAACATAACATAGTTATAACACCCGGTGTTCTACTCAACACCACTTCGAGAGGCCTCTCCTTTTGCGTGGCGATCTCCCTGTCGGTGGTCTGCACACCAGTCACGTTGGGCGCCAAATTGTCCCGTCCAGCAGGACAGTCAACGGGGGTCGCAACCACCTAGGAGAGATTGGGGGACAAGAGACACGAAGAATGGACAGCAAGACAGGATGTCTGATCAAGCTGTCAATTTATTGATTTCAACTGAGGGTTTTTATATTCTTCAGTAACTAAGGCTCAGGGAGGAAAGGAGAAACTAGGACGCAAGCCATGGTCTCCAGACCGATTGTTCTTGAGCAGCCACCATATCAACCATAGTAACCAGCATATCAACAATAGCATAGGTAATCAGTAACAAGATGTCGGCAGGTACAGCATAAATCACATTCTAAAACAGTTGCTACAAACAATTGAAGCTAAGCGTGTGATTAGTTTCATAACTTCTTTCTCAAGTATCTAGCCAGCCAGGGATTTTCCACTGGCCCGTAGTTCTATATTCAAAATGGCTTCAGTGTGGCTATAGTGCACGGCTCCTGACACACATTATTTCATTAAATTTATAACTAATAAGATATGTATTGGAGCTTTACTACAAATTCAAGAACTAATTTTAAATTGACCAACTACACTTGTAACCTTTGTTATTCAGTAACTTCCTCACTGTCTCCTTCACATCTTTGTTTCTGAGGCTGTAGATCAGTGGGTTCAGCATGGGGATGACCACTGTATAAAAGACAGAACCTACTTTGATCATGAGCCATGAACTTTTTGAGTTAGGAACACAATAAAGAAAAAGGATGGACCCATGGAAAATAGTAATGGCAGTCAGGTGGGAGGCACATGTGGAGAAGGCTTTGTGGCGCCCTCCAGTGGAAGGCATTTTCATGACAGTGATAAAAATGAAAATGTAAGAAGTCAGAATTATCATCAAACTACTTACTTCATTGAAGGTGGCAGAGATTAAGATGACCTTCTGACTGATGGAGGGATCAGAGCAGGACACAGCAACAATGGCAGCATGCTCACAGACAAAGTTATTAATGAACTTAGTCCCACAAAAGGATAGAGTCAGCAAGAAGTATATAAATGTTAAAGAGCACACTAAACTCCAAGAATAAGACGCAGCCACCAGCAAGCAGCAGAGCTTCTGAGACATCACCACGGTGTACAGCAGAGGATTACAGACGGCCACGAAGCGGTCATAGGCCATGACCGCCAACATGAAGGTTTCTGTAATCACAAACACGCATGCAAAGAAGAATTGCAGAATGCATCCTGGAAAGGAGATAGTTCTGTCTTCCACAACCAGGTTTTCCAATAGTTTGGGTGTAACTACCGTAGAGTAGCAGAAATCCACAAAGGACAAGTGACTGAGGAAAAAGTACATGGGGGTGTGGAGTTTGGGATTGATCCTGATGATCAGAATCATGCCCAGGTTCCCCAGCACAGTGACCATGTAGATGGTCAGGAACACCAGGAACAGGGGCACCTGCAGCTCCGGGTATTCTGAGAATCCAACCAGGATGAAGGTGACTCCAGCTGTCTGATTTTCATGGATCCTTAATACAAAATAGCGAAGTTAATCATCCAGAGAAATTAGAACCGATATTTGAATTGGAATAAGGCAGAAACATTCAAAGACATAAGATATGTTTATTCCCAAAAATACTAGGATTCCACTGTTAAAAATTTGAAAATTAGTGTTCAGTTCATAAAAACTGAATAGTGATAACAGATTTTGTTTGCCTTAAAGCAAAGGGAAAAATCAAATTTTTGACAGGAATAAAAACAACAAGACAAATAGATCACATTTTGCTTTGTTTCAACAAATAAGACTCATTATCAACATAATTTGCTTCAGGATAACAATTAATCTAACCTCTTTGTTTAAATCCAAACTTGGCCAAAACAACTTTGTTTGGTGAAGATACATAACTTCTGACATTTCCATCAGTCTCAGCTGTTAAAATATAATTAATTTAGAACAATTAAATGCTTGAAAATTCTAAACACCACATGTTGAATTTCACACGTTTGCCGAAAGCCTGTTTTCCTGCCATTCTGTCCTACAATGTCCAATTATACCATCTACCATTATAAAAATTAATCATTGATTCTGGTTTTATACACATTCATGCTTTTAATATGCAATTATCATATACAGCATATTATCATTTACAAATATAATTCTCATTGTTAGTCACCTTCTCAGAGATTATAAGGCCCTAGTGGATAAGGGTTAGGTTTTGATATTTTCTCCTGGCCGGAGCTTTGATTTCATTTCAGAGTGAGTGCCCAAGCAGAAGGGTAAGATTTAATCTGCATACAAAAGCATAGCCCTTTCTAAGTTGAACTAAGTAGGCCTGGGGACACCTCAAAGTATAGATATGCTTTCTCCTAAAAAGACCATTTCAAGTCCGTGTTATGCCCACAAACAAAAGAACTTAACCAACTCACCTAAATATGGAAGCGCTTGAGTGATTCATTTACCAAAGAATCCTTTGCCAAGGATGATAATCTCCAAATACACCTCTACTTAGTTATTAAATAATAAAAACAGACCTAGAAGCACTAGGAAGAGCTCACACTATATTTCATTAACTAGTTCCTCTGTTACCTTTTCTGTTATCAAGAAAATCTTAATAAAGCATAGATCATGTCATTCTTAAAAACGTAACCTTTTCACAACATAGTTTCGTAAGTGTGTGTCATCTAAGGAAAAGAAAAGGCAAGTGAATAATGCACTGTAAAATCAGATACAGCTTTAGAGAAACAAAAATTAGCGTCACGGGAAATGTTGAAAACGGCACAGAAAATATCTAGGGATTATCCCAAGTGAGAAACAACGACAAGAGTGTTGACACCAACTCCCATATGTTGTTGACTAAGATTCATTAAGTATTCCAGTTGCTTTTGGGAATAGCAAACTTCTGGACCTCTGGGGAATTCTTTGAGCAAGAAGATGATTTGGATAGGAGGAGATTGTAATTCCACTCAGTGCTGCTACTAGTTTTTTTAAGGCTACAAATGACTTCAAATAATGCCTCATAGCAAGTAATATTTACTGTTTTAAATAACGTATGAAGGTGAGGAATTTGGAGTTCACAGTTCTGGCTCTGATCAGTTTGCTGTCAAGTTTTGTTTAGAGCAAAGGTATTGTCAATGCTACATCGGAATGGAGAGTTCACTTCCAAGGTTATCGGCATGGCTGTTGGCAAACTGAGTTACTCACTGAGGGCAAACCTGAAGAATCAGTTCCTTGTAATGTGGCTTTCTCTATAGGAGAGGTCCCAGAGAACACACAAAACAGGAGTTGAGACAGTTTCAGCACAACATCTCAGTAACATATTTTCATTTCTGTCTTCTGCCTTGAGGTAGATTACAAAACAGAAGAGTATGCAGTCACATGGAACAGGTCTTCAGTTTTCTACGTTCTGAGCACTGACATATTAAAGCTTTACTAACCCCTAAAGGACAGCCTTTCCAGATCCCAATAATTCTTAGAGATGGCAAGCTATGCTCATGACCACTTTCTTTCTTAAGCTCTCAAATTCCAAGCCATAATACACTTTGCTTGGTCATACCTAGTGCCTAGTACTAGAGAGCTAGGGAAATCTTCATTATCCTGCCTTTGTTATTGACACTAGTCTGTGCTCAGTTTGCGTACCCCGCCCTGCCAATTCCCTCCTGTGGTACCACAGTAAAGGACCCTGCTCACGTTTCTCCTTGCCCCTTTCTCCTTCATGTATTTCTGTAAAACATGTCATCTCTACTCCTTGGATCTATACATTACTTCCTTTGCATTAGTCATTTCCACATCTGCACACCTTTCTGTACCCGACAAAAAAAAAGTATCTGTGCATATATTTTCTGCAACTGTAGTAACGGAAGAAAAAATTATTTAGTGCCATTTAAAAGATGAAATGCTAGCATAAAATTCTAACCTGTAATGACCTCATCCTCTCATCATGAAAAAAAAAATTCAAATCATCCCAATTGTCCCAAGAGTTCATGCATGTTGCTTCATTTAGCTACAACATCATGCTGAAATGAACATTTTATATCTAAGTCATTGACTGATGAGCATGAGGCAACACATATTCACCTAACTGTAGATTTTCAAGCCTAATTCTTCTTATCCTATGAAATTAGACACGTTATCTTTACTATAATCACAAATATATTCTACCTGTATCACTGTCACAGGATATTAGTCACAAAGATTGAGACTAATTGAATTTGGAAAAGTCTACACGACATGTGAATGCCAGAAGACATAAATTCATTAGTGGTCACGTTCATGTTTGTCTACCAGAACCATAGTGAGCAAATTTAAAGTTGTAGTGCTACTGTCAGACACCACACAGGAGACAGGTGTAAAGTCAGTGCATTCAAATGTGGTATATACTGCCTAGATTTGGGCACTACAAGCTCTCTCAAGTTACCAGTCACCATGGAGGTGTTACTTTAACATGCTGCAAAATATACCATCAAACACTTTGGTTTCCATAATAAAGTTTCATGTGTTACATATGATTTACTTGAGATGTAATCTCTGATAGATCACCTCATCACTGAGAAATATAGGAAACGTGTTCAGGGTCTTGAAAAAATAGATACTATTGATTCATAAAATATCTGCAGTCCCCTTATTTTAAGGTCTGAACCTTAAATTCTGAATTTTCTGTTACAAGTTGTCTAGGGCACTCAGTAGCATAGTATTTCTTCCACCCTGAATTCTTGTGATTAATGAAGCTTCCTTAGCAATATGATGCAAGAAATTATTCAATGCTTCAAGTCATTTCATTCAGGTGAGCATTTCATTACAATTATTAACTTTGGGTGATTTAAACAAATATGGTGCAACTACGTTTCATCAAAGCTTGGAATCAGGATTTTATTGACATGATGACTAGTACTGTCTTCAACACTAAATATGACCACATGTTTACATTTCAAGGATTATTTATACAATATTATTGAATAAGCTTATCTTAAGGTAAAAAAAAAATATCAACTTGTAGTAGTCAAAACAAAAACAATTCTAAAAGCAGCAATGATTGAAAGTGCATTTGGTATGCTGCTGGGACTTCCACCTTTCACACCAATTCCAACTGCCTACTGGTTTATAGAGAGAAAGAGCTTCCATCTGCTGATTCACTCCCCAAGTGGCCTCAATGGCCAGAACTAAGTCAATATGAACCCAGAAGTCAGGAGCTTCTTTCATATCTCTCATGCGAGTGCAGGGTCCCAAGGCTTTGGGCTGTTCTCTACTGCCTTCGCAGGCCACAGTCGGGAAGACGGATTGAAATTGGAGCAGCTGGAACACAAACCAGCACCCACATGGGATCCCAGTGCATGCAAGGCAATGATTTAGCCACTATGCCATCCCACCGGGCACTAGTATGCATTTCTTGGAAGCAGTGGATTGTGGGTCGGCTAGTTTTCCTCCACCCATGTGAAATATATATGGATAGATAGTCCAAATTCCCAACCCTTGGCTTCATCCTGATGTCATCATGGATAATGCTATCCCATCACTTCCCATTTCTCTCTGCGTGTGAAGTAAATAAGAAATATATGATTATTCAAAATTAGTTTGAAATTAATGGATTTATCTCATCCCCATTGTAGCCAGGAGCACAAAATGTGTAATAGATACAATAAGGTAAAAAGTAAAGAATGAGAACATGCATAAATCCATAGATAAAAACCACTTAATCACAAGCAAACACATAAAAACAGGACCAAAACCCAAGAAGGAAGAATATGTACACAGAGCTAGTAGGAAACAAGGTTTTCTGATCCTGTGAATAACCTATGAGTAATATTCATGTAAAGCATATAACAACTAAAAACAAAGATTCACCTGGCATTGAAGCACCTAAATTTGATGAGCAAAGATGCATAAGCACCCTGGAAAGGTCAGTTGCCTAACATATTAGTAGTGAATTTAATGTTCACGTCCAGCAATGAACAGACAGAAAAGCAGCAAGACACAGGTGCAAGCAAATAAACTCCAGACAGATGAATTTGCTAATAAGAGAGGATGTTTTTGCACAGCTGTGAATATACAAGCTTCCCAATAGTATGTGAAGAATTCTCATGGATTTTTTTAAAGTATCTTTTCAAGTTTCTTTTTTGTATGTTTTAAAATATTTTTTTGACCCCAACAGAATAACACCGGAAAGTGATACTGGAAGTGATTTTGAAAATTGAACTAATTCAGAGTGTATGTGTTGAAGAATCTGTGGCAAATGTGAAATGTATTTCTGTCTAAGTCACAAGGAATTTTGACCTAGATTATAAGATACAGCCTTCTATTGGGGGATTACTAAACAGAGCAAACACATTTTTTTCTGATTTAAAATGAATCATATTTGCATGACATAAACAAGAAAAGCAAGAACAATCAGATGGCAAAGCAGACATTATCTGGATAAACATAGTTTTGTTAAAACTACATTGAATGAGAAGACACTTGAGAGTTGAACAACCTCCTGACTGTCTCTTTCACGTCTTTGTTCCTGAGCCTGTAGATCAGGGGGTTCAGCATGGGAATCATGACTGTAAACAGCACAGTGGACACTTTGATCAGGAGCCATGAGCTTTGGGAGTTGGGCACACAGTAGAGAAGGAGGATGATCCCATGGAAGATGCAGATGGCGGTCAGGTGGGAGGCACAGGTGGAGAAGGCTTTGTGGAGTCCACCCTTGGAAGGCATCCTAGTGATGGTGATGACGATGAACGCATAGGAAGCAAGGATGATCAGGAGGCTGCACGTCTCGTTGAACGTAGAAATGATTAAACATGCCATCTGGCTGAAGGAGGGGTCTGAGCAAGAGAGCGAGAGGACGGCTGAGTACTCGCAGCCAAAGTGATTTATGACATTAGATCCACAGTAGGATAGCACAGAAAGAGAGTATGTGAGTGTGAGGGAGCAGAGTGCACCCCATGTGTAGGTCCCAGCTACCAGGAGGGCACAGAGCCTGTGAGACATAGCAACAGTGTAGAGCAGTGGGTTACAAACAGCCACAAATCGGTCATAGGCCATCACAGCCAGCATGAACATTTCTGTGATCACAAATGCACAGATAAAGAAAAATTGTGTCATGCAGCCATTGAAGGAGATGGTTCTGTCTTCCACAACCAAGATTTCTAGCAATTTGGGTGTAAATATACTGGAGTAACACATATCCAGAAAGGATAGGTGGCTAAGGAAGAAGTACATGGGTGTGTGGAGTTTGGGATTGATCCTTGTGACCACAATTATGCCCAGATTTCCCACAAGAGTGACTGTGTAAATGACAAGGAATACCAGGAACAGCGGTGCCTGGAGGTGTGAGTATTCTGAGAACCCTAACAGGATAAAGGTACTCACGGAGGTCTCATTTTCTTTTCCAGTGATCATAGCCATTCATTTAAAAGGAAAGTGGACGTGAGAAGAGACAGCGAGCAAGTGAGAGAGAGAGAGAGAAGGAAGGAAAGAAAATATTGAAAGGGATGAAGGAAAAGAGAGAAGAAAGAGGGTGAAGAGGAGGAGTTAAAGGAATGGAAGGAAATCAGTTGATCACCGGTCCTGGAAACAATGTGGAGATGGTAGGAGGGAGGCCAGCTCTGGGAAGACCAATGACCTCTGTTATCTGAACCCTCTGCTTCTCTTCGGAGTATCTCCTAATAGCTTATTGTCTTCTTGATGATGGACAATTAAGCTTACCGTTGTGTACTTTAGTGTCCAAACCTAGAAGAAAAGTAAATATTGTTTATTAAGCTTAAAGAGAGAGACCAAGGAGCCTGGGTAGGTGGGAGTGAGGCAATGAGAAAATGAAGAGCACTGTATTTGAGTTCTGTCTGGGAAGTGTATTGAGTCTACCCAAGATAACTAATTAAAAACATTTAAGAGGTAGTGCTTGCTGATGTTACTAGTTTATGTGTGTCATTTCTAAGTGTGTGTATGTTGATCCTTAAAAATACTGTGATAGATTCAGTTGCTTTGGGACTAGGAAGATAGAGAAAATTCAGGGGAGGAATGAGCAGTCCTATGATCTCGGCAGAGGAGCTCTACAGAAAACTAAACATTTTAAATCATAAATAACAGTATAGTAAAGAGGAGATAGAGGATGTAATCTAATGGGAATTCCCAGTCCTTTTTAATGTACTAAATTTTTACTTACTCTAAGTATATCTCCATTATAAAAGACTTCCAGAATATCTGCTTAAAATTACCTATAACCTAACTAGAAGTTCACTAGTAATGGCATTCTCTCAGGCTCATACTTACACATGCTAGCCAATAGAGTACTCTTGGGATATTCTTGGAAGTTTCCCATTGGTTCTCCTCTGCTAATTTCTGCAACCTGTTTCCAGTAAACGGTTTTAAAGAGAGCAAACAGAAACCGTGAATTTTAGCAATAAAATAATGAAAAATAGACGATTTAATCCAGAAAGTAACTCACACAAAAGCAACAATCTTAGGGTTTTCATATAAGAAACACAGCATGATGGTCATTGGGACTGGCAGATTTGATGGTAGAGCATGGTGTGCCCCTACAAGGTTAAGAACTGTAGCAGTTCTGATATGTGCAAACAGCACCATTAAAATCTTTGAGCCTCCATATCTATTTCCACATTAGTCTTAGCTAAAAAAGACATATGCCATTTACCTGAAAGATAGAAATATAGACACAAAGAGAGAGCCAGAAAGAGACACAAAATTGAAAGCCATGAAGTTTCTGTTTGTAAATCAACAAGTGTTAGAATTAAAAATTGTATGCACTTCAGCCTAAAAGAAGTGAACCTCAGGAAGGCATTGCCAACTCGGGTCAGGTGATGCAATGGTTCACTGGCTAAATTCTCTCCTGGCATCTGTCAGGATTCCATACAGGTGCCGGTTCATGTCCCTCTACTCTAGGTCCCATCCAGCTCTCAGCTTGTGACCTGGGAAATCAGTAGAAGATGGCCCAAAGCCTTGGGACCTTGCTCCCCTGTGGGATCCAAAAGACATCCCTGGCTGAATAGGCTCAGCTTGGCCGTTGAGGCCACTTGGGGAGTGAACCAGCAGATGGCAGATCTTTGTCTTTCTCTATGTGAATCCACCTTCCCAATAAAATAAATAAAGAAATCTTTAAAAATGTCAAGCCAGCTCTGGCTACCATGTCATTCCAAATCACAGTGCCTCGTTCAAGTCCTACGTACTCCACATACTTCTGTTCCAGCTTTCTACTGACATACCTAAAGACAACAAATGACAGACCAAGTGGTTGGGTTCCTCACACCACACTGAAGACCTGGATGAGGTTCTGTTTCCCAACTTGGGCGTGTGTTGCAGTCCTTTGGGGAACAAACCAACAGTTGCAAGATACATACCTTCCTTTTTTTGTATGTTCATTTTTTTGTTTTGTTTTTGTCTGTTTTTCTTATCTCTCTGCACTATGCCTTTCAAATAGAGTACCTGGTGTGATAGCACAGAAGTTTTAGCCACAGACCTGTAATACCAACGTCACATGGGGGCACCTGTTTGTGCCATGGTTGCTCTATTCATGCCCCAGTTCTCTGTTAATGATAAGGAAAGTATTTGGGCCCATGCCACCATGTGGGAGAGACTCAGGTGAAAATCACTCTGGCCTCAGCTTGTCCAAGTGCTGGCCATTGAGGTCATTAACAATGGAAGAGCTTTCTGCCCCACCCTCTTTCTAGCTCTGATGCTCAAAATACGTTAATCCATCTTTAAAAAAAATAAATATTTTAAAAATCTGATTCTAGAGATGGATGTGGGTCATCAAGAGACAGTGATATTGTTTTGTACAAAACTGAGAACCGACAAGGTTTTGGAGTGGCCTACAACAAATGATGGCCTACAACAAATCCAGCATTGCTAATAATCCAAGGCGCCCGGGGTCAGCTATACATCACACTTCCCACTAGGCTTCAGAGCAGGTCTCCCTTTTCTGAAATGTATTTGGCCACTTTTATTGAGGAAAAAGGTCTTTAAACTCAAGGATATCATTCTTTTTCTTGTGTCACAGACATGCAGCTTCAGACATTGGAGACAAGGTCTTGCTTCTGATGAACCCTTATATCAGCGAATGTTCCAGAAATTAAATTGTGTAAAGAATCCTGGAAGCCTGGCAGGAAGTAGGTGATTTTTCAGGATGATTCTGAGTCAAGAATAATATAAACTTTGGTGAAGTTGCTATATGTAAAATCTCTGATCATTCTCATACATGTTTTCCCTAGTATTCTCACTTCTTTCCACTAAAGCTCTTATTCTCACATCTGATTATCCCTCTTCAGATCTCTCTTTGACATAGCAACAATTCACAATAACAGTTGTTATGGTCAAGTTCATAATTAAACACGTATATCAAATTTTTTCTGTATTATATGTATGTAATAAAGTGTTCATTTCCATTTCTAGAATCCAAAGAAGAAAAAAAATTTTGATTTATTCTCTTTTACAAAATATTTTTTCTAGTGTTTCCAGTCCCTTTACAAGGACCCCTTGCTTTTCTTAAGTAATCACTTTTACTTTGTTTTCAATTTATGATATTTGTTTTGTTTTGTTTTTCAGTCATGATTTCTACTAGGATTATTGATAAAAAAAATAATAACCAAAAGACAAAACCATTATCCAAGAGAATTCCATTCAGGCCAAGAAGAAATGAATTAAGAAAGCTGTTTTGCTTGCTTTATACCTCATAACTTAGATTTTTTACTTAATTATTGGAAAGGAATCAGGTTAATGCAGTGCCATACCAAACTTTGTCCGTAGTTTATTGGTAAGTTACACGCTACATGCTTATGCATTTACAACTTTTGGCAAAGTTGATGATTATGGACTTACTACTCCACTTTGTGTGTTGCTCGATTCTTGTTTGCCCGTTAAACCCTCTTTGACTTTTCATGGTAATTAAACATCTTATTTGGATTCTGGACTCTCTTTCTGCCTTTGGACTTTCGCTGCAACTTCTCTATCCATAAATGTCATTAGCCACTGCATTTCTCCATACTCTGTTATGATGTAAACACAACCTTTATCAAATATTACATCATTGCAATTCCAAAGGAAGAATCAGATCGTTCAAATACACTGCGTTTTGTAAGAGCCAAGGATTATAGCAACCAGAATGAGTTCAGTTCATTTACGCATGTTCCTCCCCCACGTATGTCACAAATCATTTTGATTGCAGGATCAGTATTTTATATGTAGGAATTTACAAATAAAAGGCAGATACACGAATATGTGAAATGTTACCATTATTGCTCTAATACTGTTTTGTGATAGTTTAGGGAAAATGATCATTGTATTCTTTGAAGCTAATTAAATTTTTCAAAGACTAGAATCAAATGCATCCATGGTGACACCATTAAAACACAAAAACAAATGACCTGGTTTGTATATCTGGATGCTTTACATTTAAAATCCACTTGCATGGATTTCACAATGTTACATAATCCTCATTTTCCCATCGCTTTCTCAATATGGTCTTGTACTTTCTTTGTAAGCTGATGGCTCTAGAAAGCTAGCGAAGAAAATTTGTTTTGTCCTGTTTTGTTTTAATCTCCCAAAGGTTGCTTCTGCTCCCTTCCTGCAATCACCATTGTTTATACTAGTCCTTTCAGGCCTGTGATGAATTCTGCCCCTTTTCAGCTCTGAATACAATATCTTTAGGGTTTTTAAATAGGACTCTATTAGAAAACATATCAAAATAAAGTTTTTTGGTCCCAGTGTGGTAGCCTAGTGGCTAAAGTCCTTGTCCTGCATGTGCCAGGATCCCATATGGACATCAATTCATGTCCCAGCGGCCATGCTTCCCATCCAGGTCCCTGCTTGTGGTCTGGAAAAGTAGTCAAGGATGGCCCAATGCTTTGGGATCCTGCCCCTTTGTGGGAGACCCGGAGGAAGCTCCTGGCTCCTGGCTTCAGATCAGCTCAGCTCCAGCTGTTGTGGCCACTTAAAGAGTGAATTAGTGGACAGAAGATCTTCCTCTCTGGCTCTCCTCTTCTCTGAATATCTAATTTTCCAATAAAAAACAAAAGCAAGTCTTTTTTTTTAAGGTTTTCTATATGCATTTTTATAACTCCTTGTGAGAAATTAATATATTTTTGTCAGTAAGTACAGTATTCTATATACAGTGGTATTTAAGAATTGTATCCTATAAAACATTCATTTCCTTCTAGGTCATTGAAATGACAAATTTCTCCTCTGGTGTATTATGCCATGTCATAGTGCAAGGACAGCAATCTTAGAAAGTTCTTCCAAGAAAATCTGAATCACCACACTATTTATAACACATAGAGCACATTTGCCATTTTATGTATGAATTTATGCATGTGCCACGTTTCTTAGGTGACTTAATTACATTTTCATGAGGATAAATTTATATATATCATTTCATATAAAATCATATGTGAGCC